CTTGTCATTTCTAATCAACAGTATGTCATCCATATTAAATGACAAAATCACAAATTTATCTTTTTCTCTTTTGACATACACAGTGGTCCTCATCAATCATGATAAAATCATATGAGATTCTCGCTTGATGAAATCTAATATACCACTATCTAGAATATTATTTAAGATCGTAAATCAATTTTAACAACCTCACATTTTGTGCTCTTTACTTTTATCAACAAAACCCATATGTTATTCCATATAGATTCCTCTTTCAATCCTTCATTCAAAAAGGTGATTTTCACATCCATTTGATATAACTCCAAATCTAAACTAGTTATAATAGCTAAAATTAAGCATATCGAGGTAAACCTCACAACAGGAGAGAAAATCTTTTTATAATCGATTCCCTCTTGTTGGGTAGACTCATTCACTACCAGACATGCCTTATATCTTTTAGTTATCCCACTGACTTATGTTTAATCTTAAGAACCCATTTGTTTCCAGTTGCTTTACGTTATTTAAGAAGATCAACCAATTCCCATACACGATTTGATTTAACAAGCTACATCTCTTCTTTCAGTACTTTAATCCATTTTTTTATAGAAGATAAGAGAGTTTTTTTCACATTTCTTGACTCTTTTTCATCTTGTGGGATAATCAAGAACACTTTCCCTTCTATGTCAAAATGACATCAGGGAATATTTCCACGATTACTTCACTTGACTTGTAATTCTTGTAAAACTAATTCACCAAATTCATCATCTTTAGTTATGCTCTTACTTGGATAAGATACTATTTGTTTTTTATCAGAAACATGCATTAATTGATTTGAAACTAAAAAATCATTTGCTTTATCAATCTTGTAAAAAGACATCTTTTGATCTATCTTACTTTTCTTTGAAAACTTACTTTTTAAAAAAGTGGCATCCTAAGATTCAAATTCAATTATACTCTTACTATTGTTCACCCATGAATATGTATCATTTTGAATACTCAAAGTATCTGACAAATATATTCTTTTTGCCTTGAGGACCTAGCTTGACAAGTGAATGAGTGGTTTCATGTACACAGGCAACACAATCCCAAGGTTTCAAATTACTGAGAGCATGTTTTCTCCCAGTCCAAAATTCATAAAGTTTGGACGTAAACAACTTTGAAGGTATTCTATTGAGTATATATGTAATAGTTAACAATGCATCACCCCAAAGGTGATCGGCAAATTTGCTTAGGTTATCATAGTCCTTACTATTTCTAGAAAAGTTCTATTTCTTCTCCCTCGCAACATTATTTTGTTGTAAAGTCCTTGAAATGGTAACTATCTATTAATACCATTTTCATCAAATAATTGTCTGAATAGATTAGAAAAATACTCACATCCTCAATCTCTTCTTAACGCTTTACTATTTTTGTTTAATTAATTCTCTATTAAGATTACATACTTTCTAAAGCACTCTAATGTTTCAGAATTGTGAGAAATTAAAAAGATGAACCCGAAACGTGTAAAATCATCAATGAATGTGATGAAATACTAACCTCATTTCCATCACCTTACATTCATTAGACCACAAATGTTAGAATGTATCAACTGCAATTGAATTTCAACTCTAGTTTCTATACCTAATGGTTTCCTTATCATTTTTCCTGCTAGACAACTTTCACATAATAATATATTAACTTTCTCAAAAAAGCTTAGCAATCTTTCTTTCGCTAATCTATCCATTATTTCTTGGCCTATATCATCAAGTCTAACATGTCAAATATTCACATCAATATTCGTATCAGAATCAATCATAAAAGAAAATCTTAGATTATTGTATAGAACAATATTTAACATAATAAAATCATTTAATAAAAATTCAAATCCATAATAAATTGTATCTAAGTACAAACTCACACCTGTACTGTAAAAATACAAAGAAAATCCTAGACTAAGAATAATAATAGAAACCAAATTTTGTTAAATATTGAGAGTAAAAGTACATCATGTCGAATAAAAGTGTTTTCACCACGCATGCATAGCTTCTAGGTGCTAGTGCCTCTTACTTCAATCTCTGAATTATTTCCTACTTAGATCCATTTTGTTTCTCATGAAATTCGATGAAAATCCATGAACACATTATTATCTCATGCTACATGGTTTATGGCTCCTAAGTCTACAATCCATAAAGGATGTGATTATGGCATTATAACAGTACTAGAAACAAACACAATACTTTTAACATTACATAAAAATACTTTAAAATTTTATACCTTCTTTAGCTCATTGCATTTGTAAGCAAAGTGGTCCATTTTGCTATAGTTAAAACACTTGACTATCAATTTGCTTTTCTTAGTATAAGCCTTAGAACCTTATCCTTTGCCAGTTGCCTTAGTTAGATAACCTAAGTTATACCAAACTTTACTTTCATGATACTTAAAATCTTTTTGCTATTCCATGAGATCGAAACTCGTGCATAATATCATTCTCCATATTTCTAAGCAACACATGCTTGTAGTGGAGTTTTTCTTTTTTCTTGCCTCATAAGTCTCTCGGTCCCTCTTGTGTTGTGTTGCATTCCCTTTTTCGGACTCATCAAGGACATTATTCTAAATATCAAGAACCTCTTATTCTTCAAGTACATATAGAATTTTAATACTTTAGATGTCATAATTGTGCCTATTTAGTTTCTCACCCTTGTTTAACTCAGCAACAATGTTCTTAAAAGCAAAAGCCATTTCAAAGTATAATTATACATTCGAGAGAAATATGCACTAATTAATGCCTAACATGCATACTTATTATTTTGCCACAATGTCACAAATAAAATAATGACAATCATTCACATAAAAATGAAACCAAAAAGTCACTATATTCATAATCAAATTTCATTTTTTATGTATTTGATTATCACTAATTTATTTCACTTTGCAAAATCAATCATTCTAAGGCAGAATAATTCAATTATCTTAGAACCCCACTAACAATAAAGTTATCAACATATAATCAATAAAATATATTGATTTCACACAAAACAGTTTCACAAAGCATAATTTGAATTCACAAACATGTTTATAAAAATATATACATATTAAATGTTAATTAAACATGTTCCTAACCATTTATGAATAATTTATCTATGAACTATTATGGATTTCAAAAACTCATTTGATAGTTTTACAGTCACATTACATATCTATGGAAGTCTAAGAATTTTGCATTTCCCATTACAAAGACTTAGGCAAGCTAGGGTCGCACTCCTCTTTGCCCCCATTCTCACATATTCCTTCACAAAATCCTTAATTAATGTTTCGTACTTAGAATCACTTTACAAAGACATTCAGATATCTTATAAAAGATTCTTTTATTTAAAAGTAAAAAATTTACCCTTCAACATTTTATATTTGATCTTATCATTCTTGATATGCATGCAACTATGCCAAATCAATTCTTGAATCATGTCATTGACTTTGATGATATACCTCTCGATATCATCATCTGATCCATTTGGTATTGCATCAATTACACCATCAATCTTATGACTCTCATAAATTGATCTTATGTCCTCATACCGATGAAAGCTCTCACGAAAATAGTCATGTTTTTTATAATAAAATACAAGAAAATTTCATGAATTCATGAGTCAACGCAAGTATAAAATTATTAATATTCATCTCAATTATTTTTATGTGATTTGTCATCCCAAAGTTAACTAAGGACAAAACAATTTTTTAAAAAATCTTACAGTTTAAAGTATAATTTCGAAGAAAACAAATACAAAATATATTCTTTAAAAATTGAAAAAAAAATCTAAAATTGTAAAGCATCAATACATTTTGCTCAAAACTCTAAAGAATCATCACAACATTAATTATACAACAAATTTATGCTATTATGCATAATCTCTTATAGATTTTCATAAGTACACAAGAATATATCAAAATATTTTAGTGTTTTATGAAAAAAATGTAAAATGAACCAGAACTCAAGCCAAATTTAGCTCTGATACCAATGAAAAATAATCTTATACATGATATATATATATATATACAAATATAATTATATGTATACTTGATTAACAGAAGTAGAAGTTTCATCAATAGAAAAAAACAATTCTCCAACTTAAATCATTGATCATTGAACAAGATTACATATGAAAATTTTTCAATTCCACAATGTAAATCCTTCAACATACAGAATACTTTAATTCTTCTTTGAGAATTGTTACACTAGTTATCTCTCTTTTTATCCTTTTCTAACAAAAGCATTAAAACTTTAAAAAAATTTTCTTACCTTAAAGCGATCATCATTTCAACATCTATTTTCTCCAAATATATGTAATGAATGCACGCAATGTATAAAAAGATTTTCCAAAATTCTAATTTTAATTTCAAGATTCAAACTTTAGTTTTCTTGTATTTTTCAAACATGCATAATGCATGAAATGAATATGATGAATGCAATGTTCTAAACATGATACATGCAACATGTAATGGATGCAATGAATGTAAAAATCTTATCATGATGCATGAACATAGTAACTATAATGAATGCAATGAATGCAATACAAAGTTCAATATCAAGTACCTCTAATTATGGTAAATAGTTCTCAAGCTTCCTCTTAATGTCTTATCCTTTTTTCAACTTTCCATTATGTTCTTCTTCAACTTCTAACTAGCAAATGTATTAGTCTATTTAAAACCCAACATTCTCTAATTTCATCGTTTGATCTCAATATTTGGAATGTTTTTTAAGCCATGAAGATTAAAATCTTCTTAAACTTCCTTCATTTTTTATTTACTCCAATCACTTTCAACTTTTTCAAAATAAAACAATAATATTTCATATCAATTATTTATTCATTTATTATCATTCCAATTCGATGACAAATGTAATTCTTCACATTTTTTTAACTCATTATGAAAAAAAATATAAATGGTAAAAAACTAAAAAAATTAAAGAAAGGATATTCATTATAAGAATAAGTATGATAAAGAATCAAAGCAAATATATTTATTATTCATGCAAAAATAAAAAAAAAAACATGCAACTAATTAACCCAATCATGCAAGCAATATATATGCAAACAAAACTATTATCACTCACAATTAATAAAAACAGAAATAAAAAAATAAAAAAAAAAACCTGGTCAAAAGCTAGAAAGAAGATGAGTCAATTAAGAACATGAGCAGAGCAGGTCAGGATCTAGGGTCGTAAACAGGTCGTCGATGGGTCAGATGTGGTCGTCTTTAGTGCTCCAAAAGCTGCCGTTTGGATTGGACCATGGTTAAATATTCAACTTCATTTTCCTTTCACCATCGCTTTCTCGTTCTTGTTTTTCTTCTCTAAAAATTCCCTCTGCCCAAATTATTCCCAGCGATAACCCAGACTTCGACGAGACTTCGCCAACCAATAGCCCAAAATGAAATTTCGTTCCCAACTCCTTTTACACCAGCAGCAGCTTCTTTTATTTCTTTTTCAACCCCAAATCAAAACCTAGCCAAGAAAAAACCCAATTGCAGACGAAGCCCGCAGTAACTTTTGCCATTTGTCTACCGTCGACCTTCTACCTCTTCTCCTTTTCTTATCATTTATGTTCAAGCTTAGATCAAGACCCGATATCAAAGACCAACCACTGCCTGCTTTCTCTTCAAAATACCAGAATACTAAAAAATCCCCAAACCGAAATCTGCAACCTCTTGTCGAAATATTGCAATTCGTTTATTGTCTGTGCTGTATCTATGATTCCTCGTTGTTTATTTTTTTTTCTGTTGATTGTGGTTGCTTTTGATTGTTGGCTGTGTTTCTTGGCTTTCAAATTTGGGTTGATATCCGGGGCCTGCTAATTTCGAATTTACTAGGTTTCGGGTCTAATTGAATTTGTTCTTGGTTGACTCTGTTTTTGGGTTGTTTGGGTTTATTGCGAGATTGGTTGTTTTGCTTGGATTTGAACTCTGTTAGAGGCTGTTGGAGTGTTGCAATTTTTATTTTTCTGTGACTTGATTTTCTATGTTTGTGCTGGAAATCGCTACGGGTTCCTGACTCTGTTTCTACTTGTGTTTCGATTGTTTACAGCTTGGAATTATTGCGGATGTGTACTGTCGAATGGAATGCCAAATTGTTTTTCTTGCTTTGGAATTTCTCTTGAATACTTCTTGATGCTTGGCGTTGATGTTGATTGCTTGAATGTCTGCTGCCGAATTGCTCTCTTATTGCTCGGTGATTGCTTCTTCTTGCTTCTTCGATTCTGCTTGATGCGTCTATTGCCCTCCTTTTTTATTCACAGGTTAGGGCTTTTTATATAAAGATTCAATCCTCTCTAATCTGAAAAAGTTTAAGCCCTACCGAATCTAAGAAAATTTCTATCATTTGTTTTTTTGTAATCTTTTCCTTTCTAGCTGATTGAGCCCCAAGAATTTCTCATACATGATCAGTCAATAAATTCCATAATCTGAGGCGAAATCTAGGATTTTGATCCGAAGCAAAACAAAATCACACTTTTTTTTTCTTGGTTTTCGACTTTTTTTTTTATTAATTGACTTTGATTAGATTAAAAATATAATTAAAATTAAAATCAAGATAAAAATTAAAATTAAAATCAAAATTAAAACTAAAATCAAAATCAAAATTAAATTTAAATTTAAATTTAAATCTTGAATTTTTAATCTTTGGGTTCAAAATTGATTTTTTAAGCCTCAATTTACAATTGGAGCTCATTTTAATACGAGAAAATTTCTCCTACAAAATGGAATATTTACAATTACTTTTAACTGCAAATGTATGTTGTCAACTTTACTCATTTTGACTCTTCATAGTACTTGCTACGTGTCACACTTTGCCTTTTTTTCCATTTTCTTTTCCTTTTCCTTTCTTTTTTTATATTTTTATATATTTTTCTCTCTATATTTAAGAAATAATTTTATTTTTGAAAATTAATGTGGGCCTCATTTGATATTAGTGATTAAAAAATACTTTTGTCATTTTAGAATTAAATAATTTTATAAAAAAAAAAATACCAATGGAAGTATCAATATGACACCCGTATTTTTTTTCTTTTCAACCTATTTTTTAGTGTAAATTTTATATCTTAAATTTTATAAGAAAAAGAAGGCAAACAGAGGTGTCCATGGTGCACTCTATTTGACTTTTTTTTTTTTTGTCTTTTTTTATTAAATAAATTTTGTAAAAAAATAGTCAATGAAAATAAAAATATCAAAATAATTTATTTTCAATGGATTTCGACTAGCCTTGATCCAATAGAATAATTTTTTTAATCGAGATTAGGTCAGGATAGGATAGTTTTTTTTTTAAATCATGAGAAAATCAAAAGCGAGTTTAAGATGTTTCATCTTAGGATATATATATATTTATTATTATTATTATTATTATTATTTATATAATTATATATATGTATTATATTAAGAAATTTATTATTTATATATGAATTACATTAATATACTATAATTATATATAATTAAGATGTAATTATATATAAGTAATGTTTTATGAATATTATACTAAATTAAAATTATTGAATTATTTTTGGATAAAATGAGTGTTACACATATGTGCCAGTCAAAGTTGTGTATAAAAAATAATAACATGATATCAAGTTACAATCGTATTAAAAAGTCAAGTTAGTGTCAAAGGGAGCTTAAACCCATCCTGATCGTTGTCATCCCTAAATGACGGTGTCCATATGGCACCCATTTAACTTCCTTTCTTTCTCTTTTCTTTCTCTTTTTTCTATTGGCCTTTTTCTCTTTTTACTTTTTTTAGTTTGAACTTTTTTTTTGTTTTTTGAATTATATATTTTAATATTTCTTAATTACTTTTGAAAGATTAATTGCCAATGGAGGTGGTCACGTGACAACATATTTGGCCTTTAATTTTTTTTATTTTGTATTTTTAAAATTTTTCTTTTTTTTAATTACATAAATATTGTAAGAACATGGGTCATTGGAGTTAGGGATGGCAAAAAATCATACTCGACGAGATTTGAACAACCTCAAACCAATATGGGTGATTTTTTATTTTGAAAATCAAGATAGAGTCGGGGTCAAGGCTTTTTTTTTTTTTTTTTCGAGGTTAAGTTGGAGGTGAGTTTGAAGTGCTCCATTCCGACTTTTTTTTAGATATATAAATATATATTTTATTATTTATTTAATTTTACATCTATCTAATATATAATAAAGTTATTATTGAATAACTAAACTTAATAAAATAATACATTTATATAATTAAAAAATAATTTATATTAAAAAATAATATCTATAATATAAATTTTGTAAGAAAAATTCATCATTGCTAATGTCACGTGTCAACCAAACTATGTTTTTCTTTTGTTTCATTTTTTTGGTTTTTTTTTAGATTTTTGTTTTTAATTAGATAAATTTTGTGAAAAAAAAAAGACTAATGGAAGTGTACACATAGCACTTTATTTTATTTTTTTCCTTTCATCTTTTTTTTTGTTTTTAATATTTTTTAATTAAATAAATTTTGTAACAAAAAAACTAATAAATAGGAATAGCAAAACAATTCATAATCAACTTATTCTAATATGTTTAGATCTAATATGAGCTTTTTTAAAATTGAAATCGATTTAGGGTAATCTGATTTTTTAAGGGAATGGAGCTAGGTCAAAAATGAGTTTAAAGTACTAGACCTTAATCCACCTCAAAGTATATATTTTATTATTTATTTAATTTATATTTATATATATTAATAAAGTTATTATTTAATATTTTGATTTAAAAAATTAACTTAATAAAAATATTATATTTATACAGTTATACTTTAATGTTCTAGATGATTGATATGTATCGATATAGTTGTTATCATCTTCTAAAAGATTATAGTTTCTTTGGTGCTGCTAATTATATCGTGAATTCATTATGTAGCCTTGAGCATGTCTTTTGGATAATATTTTGAATTTCAAACATGATTTCCTTTTTTCTTTTTTCTTTTTTTTTTCGGTCCTTGCTTTTAATACTTTTTTTTTAATTTTTTAATCAGATAATTTTTAAAACTTAAAAAATAAATAGATATTCACGTCACATCCTTATTTAGCTCCATTTTTTTTTTTTAATGCTTAGATCCTTTCTTTCTTTCTTTTTTTAATTTAATTCTTCATTAACATTATTGTTTACGAATAACATAAAGAAAAGTTAAACCTGCAGCAAAGCACAGCCATACTTCTAATATAATATAAATTCAACTACTTTAACTGCTACAACAAGTTTGTCTATGTTTTTCTGCCTAACATTTAAAGATAAGCACAAACTTAAACATTCAAATCTTTCATATAATTTGCTGAAGCTTAAGAAACCTTCTAGCAAACATCACAAAATGCATTTTTCCAAAGTTTCAGCAAAACGTACCATAACTCTAGCACTTTCTCATACTAGACACCATAACAAGCTAGAAACCTTTTTTCTTTTTTTCTTTTTTTTGGGAAATCATAGAGTTGAAATCATGAAAGCTCTTTTCGTGTCTATATTGTTATCTCAAACAAAATCCATGGCATATAGTATCTTGATTCCTGGCTTTAAAAGAGATGACGGGCAGCAGAAATGAGCTGAACTGAGATGTACGTAACTGAGTTGGAACGGACAGAAGGACCGGTAGCAAGTTGTGCCAAAAAGTTATTCTAGAAATAATCTAACAAGTTATAAATTCACACACATGGAAGATATTTATTTGTATTAAGGCTACTACAACACAGCAGCTGCAGCAGGCAGCCATTGCAGCGGCAAAACCAGCTGTAACATTCGAGAGTAAAAGTCGCAGCAGCAGCTGTTCAAGTTCTTTGGGATTCAGATAAGGCCGATCTGTCTGAGTTATTGAAAAACTGTTCAAATGTTCTCAACATCTTTAGATAGTTTGTTGTATTTTAAATTAAAATCACTTTAGTACAGAGGATAAGCCTAGCCTTATCTATGTAACTTAAACTCTGTGTATATATGTGTTCATTTTAATAGAACCGAATGAATAAGTTTGCTTTTTCAACCAAATTATACTGTCTTTACGATTTGAACTGGGCAATCTAACATTAAACAAATAATTTACTATTTCTACAAGGCTGCTCAAAGTGGCTTACTTTCATAGCAAATCTGAAAACCACGTCCATAAAAAGTCAATAAAAGTAGTGCTTAATGCATACAATTGAAAAGAGAAGAAATAAAGAGTAGCACAGTGCCTAAATTATAAAGAAAACGGAAAATACAAAGAGCAGAAGTTCAACGAAGGCAAACTTGGAAGCAGCAGCAGCAGGTCCCAATGCAACAGCGGAAGAAGCTAAGCGACCCCGAGCACGAGGGCGCCCTTTAATAAACCGGCCACCTCCTCTGCCTCTGGCACCACTACCTCCACCTCCTCTGCCAGCTTTTCCAGACACTGATGATGGTACCATCAAAACAAAAGCAATGACCATGACAATTACAAATATGTTTGTGATCTTCAGAGCTGAGACCCTGTTCATCTTCGTTCTCATAAGTGAGACCTCAAAAACAGCGTCTAATAAACAGAGTGATTGATGCTTAGACAGACAGCTGAGAAGAGTTGGAGTGGGAAAATAACGCTGGCTTGCTTCTTTAACAGGGGAAAGCTTAATTGAGGAATTACATTTTTTTTTTTTTTGGGATCTAATATATTTCAGATTCTAATGAAAGAAGGAAGTGAGAAAAAAAGGTTTGATATCTGTTGGGAAAAAGATAATAATATAAATAAAGCTGTCTGTCACTTGTTGCATTTGTTATTGGAATGTTTGGATGCGTGTTAAAAACAAGGTTTGATGCCTTCCATGTGAGTAACTAACTTTAGCAAGTAGAATTTTTGTTTTTGGTTTTTTTTTTCAGAAAAGAAAAAGTAGGCTAAAGCAAAAATCTTTGCTGATCATATGAATGCATTGGGTGTTTAGTAAATGATAGTTAAACCAGAGAAGTGGAAGTGGAAAAACAAAAGTTAGTTTCTCAATTATTAATTCCTATCCTAAGCAGCTGGGTAGGGAAACTTTTAAAACTACAATTGAATGATTTGATAATGAGACAGGGACTGAACAACCATATGTGTCTGGCACGTACCAAGTGGTATGCCACCAGTGACAGTGACCCACAAATTTTAGTTTTTGTAACCCTTATACTATATACTATATTTATTTCATATATATTTAAATTAAATTAATTCTCACATTAACTTTTTTATTTGTTAGTTTTATTTTTATCTTTAATCTAATTTTATATATAGTAATTTAAGAAAAACTAAAATCACATTATTATTTCTCTATTTATTGAATTTACAATCTTTATTTACAAATCCTTAAGAAGCGTTTAGTTTAGAAAAAAGTTAAAATATTCATCGAAATTTTATTTTTCATAATTTGATTTTTTTAGTTTGGTTCATAAAATCTATTTTTTGAAGTTTTTTAAGATTTTTAACAATATCAAAAAATGAGGGTAATTGCCCTAAATAAAAATAACTACCTCACCTTAAGGTTTTTTAAGATTTCTAATAGAATATAAAATTTAAATCACTTTTGACCTCAACAAAAATTTTGCATGATCTATTTTACACTTGATCAATATAATTGCATGATAAATTGAGATCTATTTTGACATGTAAAGCTACATTTCTAGCTACACAAATAGGTAAAATTGCATATGCCACACGATTGAACACCTGACAATGATTATATGTATTTAAATTTTTATAAATTTAAATATTTGTTTTCAACTGAAAAAGTTTCAGAAAGATAATGTTTTTTAATTATAAATGTAGTTTATTTTGTATAAAATAAAATTTTAATAAATCAATTGTTTTCATTTATATAACATTGTTATATTAGAAACGTAGTCATATATTATAATATGTTATGAAAAAAAATTAATTATAATAAAAATAACATTTTTAAAAGAAAAGCATAGTAGATTGTTTCAAAATCAGGATTTTGAATTTTTTTTTATAGTTTCAGAAGTACTATGTTTTTAATATATGAAAAGTAGTTGATCGTAAAAAATAATAACAAAATAAATTTTATATTTTCAATATCAATAACGTTTCTTAGTATAAAACATAGTAGTTGATAAAATATAATGTTTTTATATAAAAACATAGTTTTTAGTAGAGTTCATATAATATAATATTTATTTTGTTTTTAACTACGTTTTGTATGTAAAAAATATAGTAATTGATAAAACTAAATTTTTGTTTATATTTTTCTATATCAGTGACTACGTTTTTTGTTAAAAACATAGTCATTGATGAACCATAATAATTAATCACTTGGAACTAATAACTTTTCTAAGATAAATGTGTAATTTTTGTTGAAAATATGAAATAATTCAACAAAAATGACATTTTTAAAATAAAAAATACAGTCTTTGTTAAAAACATGAAAAAAAAATTCAAAATTCAATAAATATGATATTTTTAAGGTAAAAATATAGTTTTTGTTGAAAAGACGATGTTTTTAAAATAAAAGCATAGTTTTTGTTGAAAATATAAAAAAAAAATATTTTTAGAATTCAATAAAGATAACGTTTCTAATATTAAAAAAATGCAGTTTTTGTTTAAAATATGAAAAAATAAAACATAAAATATTTTTATTTAATATTGTTACATATAAAATCTAAAATATATTTACTTAATATTATTATAGATAAAATTTGGTCCAGGGGCTCTACCTCCGATAACCTTTAAATGGGGGTTTACCATTCATTTCCAACCCCCACGTCAACCTTACCATGACTTGTTTTTTCTATGTAGAGACAATAATGTGTTATTCACATATCATTATTATGAATGTTACTTATTATTCATGTGTTATCAAGGATAATATATTAAAAAAATTTATTAGATAATCTTCTTACATTCATGTGAACCAAATACTAAAATCTTACATTTTTTAAGTCAACAAAAACTCGAGAATCACGCATTTTCCTTTAATATCACTTTCCCCTAAATAACTTTCTCTCTCAAACTCTAAGAATCCTCGAACCAAGCCCACCTAAAAGTAAAAGACTTCTCACAAATATTAAGTCACACATATAAACTTAAAAAATAAAAAAAAACAAACAAATTAACTTTTTAGCTTTCTCAACAAGGTTGGAAATGATCTTTAACCAAATATCAAATATGCTTTGTTTTTCTTTTTAATCAACTGCATTATCTTTTCATATTTTTGTGACATTTTTATTTTTTTCTATTTCTTAAATCCTCAAATGAAATATATTAATTGCTTAGCTTTTCTATTTTTCTTAAAGTATTCATATTCAAAATATATGTGATAAATGTGAGTATGTACTATGAAGGTTCAACAATCCAAATATATAAAAAAGAACTTAGAAAAAAATAAAGATATTTATGTTGAACACATATTCATATTTAACACTTATTCTCGAGTTCAAATAACATAGCAAATGAAAAGATATCTACCATTGTAGTTGACTCCCTTAAACTAAATGTCAAAATTTGCCACTAGTACGGAGACCTATGATAGCAATTTCTCGATGAATCAATATAAAGATTTTAGACCATTGGGTTAAGGAGAAGTAAGTGAGAAGCCAGAAATCAACTCCAACACATCAAGTATAAGAGTCTTCCATTTTGTGGCACTTATACCGCAATAACAAGCACTTGTTGGTTTTTTTTTTTTTTTGTAAAATAAAGGTGCATTAAAATAAAAGCCCCAATAGGGGATTACAAAAACAGTTTTGGGAAACATGATTCCAATAGCATTAGATAGCAACAAAAGTAGACAACAATTCAAACAGCTCTTCAAAGAATAAAAAAATGAAGTTAATGAAGGATCCTAACTTAGCCAATTGGTTTGCACAAAAGTTAGCCTCCCTGAAGTTGTGTTCGACCTTCACATTTGGAATGCAATACGAAGGGACACCCTGCAAAACTTACCTTAAAACAATTTGTGAGTCAATTTCCACAATCAAATTATTAAAACCACAGTTGGTAGTAATGTGGAGCCCATCTCTAAGTCCTTAAAGTTCTGCATAGACAATAGTTGTGGATCCCAAGTTATAGGCAAATCCACAGGTCCAATTTTCAATATGATCTCTAAAAATTCCACCCACATTTTTTTTCCAAGGTTGCCTTTAGTAAAACCATCAATTTTGAGTTTAATGGAATTCTGTGATGGAGGCTGCCATCCAACATTAATTTCACAAAGGTTTTAAGATGGTTAATAGGATCATTAATGGCCCAGAACTCTTTAAAATAATTTTGAAGATTGTTCTGCCACCCATTAATGGTTTCAAAAGTATCATTGAACATCAATTTGTTCCTTCCAAGCCAAATGACCACATGGCAAAGAAAAATATGACTTTTCAAGGGATATTGGAGATGCCTTGTAAGGGGTGTAACATGAAGACTTCCCATAAGGTCATAAATTGAGAAATTATCTTTGTTGGTAGTCATTAATCTATTAGTATTATATTATGTTATGTTATACATCCCAATTCTCAGCCAATGATAATTAAATTGTGTAATTATTAGTAATCATTCTATTATACCCCATATAATAGTACTAATAAATAACTAAAAATGCATCTATATATAAATGCTAAATTATACTGCACCCACGCGTCAACCTCCTAATTTTTGTTTTTTTTTATTTTTTTATTTTTTAAAATAATAAAAAATATTTTTTAAGATTTTTTTGTGCATGAGACTTATATAATTTTTTTACTTTTCTTTTTTTACACTTTTAAATTTTTTTTTTTAAAAAAATATTTAATAAATACTTTTTTATTTTTTTATGTAAGACCCATTTGATATCAAAATATTCCATGTGCTTCTTTTTTTACTTTTTTCTTTCTTCTATTTTTTATATATTTAATAAATAATATTTTAGATTTTAATTTTTTGCAATATCCACTAACATCAAAGGTATGCCACATGTCAAGTCATTTTATTCTTTTTTCACTTTTTCTTTTGTAGTTTTTTCCTATTTTTTTTTTCTTTTTAAATATTTAATAAATATTTTAATTGTTTTTAATATGGGATCCATTTGATATTATTATTTAAAACATATATTTGTTCTTATTTTTTTTAATATGATAATTTTTAAAGAAAATGATATTAATAGAGCTGTAGATGTAAAATTCTGATTTGATTGTCTTTTTCAATCCATTCTTTTTTTAGTCTTTTTTTTAGATTTTTAAAATCCATAATGTAAATTTTTCAAAAAAAAATCATCGTTACTAATATCACGTGATAACTTAACTTTTTTAATTATTTTTTGCTTTTCATTTTTTTTTTAAGGTTTTTTCTTCCATTATTTTTTGTTTTTTAAATTAGATCATTTTTTTGAAAATAGGGCAAATAAATATGTACATGTGACATCCTAGTTTTTTTTTTTGTTTATACATTTTTTGTTTTATATTTTGAATTAGATCATTCTTACACCAAAAGAAATTGGTAAATAAAATTTTGAAGAAAAAGATATGTATGACAAAACAATTCATATCTAATGAGTTTTAGTTCTTCTGGATCCAACGGTGCATTTAGGGATAACAAAACAACACATACCTAACGGATTTCGATCTATCTCGATCTGATAAGATTATATTTTTTTTCTTAAATCAATGGTTG